TCTGCACGGCTAAATGTCACATCAATATTCACTGCCTGCTAATTAATCTCTGCTCCCATGGAACCGGCTGACATCTCACATCCTGTTGGAATACAGATGGCACTGTGGCCGGACGCTCCGTCTAATCGGAGGGTGCAGCCTCCATCTTCTATTTCATAAACATTTCAAAGGGTTTAACATAAAAACAAGAATTGGTGAAGTCAAAAACGTAACTGACTTCTTAAGCTGTTGTGACAACTTTCTTCAAGGACAATTTGAAAATGCTACGGGGACTTTGTTGTTCCATCCAGTCGTCCAGTGCTTTCCGGTGTTACACTCCAGCTCCTCCTGGGTCATCTCAAGGTGTTCTCACGCCAGAATGAAAATATAATATAAATGTAAATATAATGACTATTGGATCTGCCTAGAAAACCTCCATAGTGACGACCAGGTCAGATGTTGGAACAACCTCAGTTTACTCCTGTCAATGCAAAAAAGCAGCTAATCTACTTTGAGCTCCTGACCTAATTTCCACCACCATACCATACTATACCAACATAGTACCAATACCAATATATTGATAACCTGCTATGTCTGATCTGTTATGTGCTTATCAGTTTTTTTGTTGTTGTTGCTGTATTTTTTAAATGTATTTATTTATTTTGCACTTCCTTCCAAGACCTCTTGGCCTGGTTATGTTTGTAAATGAGAATGTGTTCTCAAACATTTTACCTGGTAAAATAAAGGTTGGAAAAAGAAATAAAAATACTATACCATACCATGTTTATGTTTATTTATTCGGCAGAAGCTTTTATCCAAAGCGACGTACAATTTTTAACCTGTAGGGCGTGTTGCGATTTGTGAGGGAAACTGGAGTACCCGGAGGAAACCCACACATGCATGGGGAGAACAGAACATGCAACTCCACGCAGAAAGGCTGCAGCCAGGTTTCGAACCTGCAACCTTCTTGCTGTGAAGCAACAGCGCTAACAACTGCGCCACCATGCCAGCATACCATACCACATACCATACCATACCACACCATTGTAACGCAACTTAACCGAACCGCCACTTCCGGTCAGCTCTTATTTTGGCGGGGGTGACCCTTCATAAGTTCCGGGTTACATAGTTGTTGCCCTGTTGCTTTCTGGCTGCTACTGTTCCTGTGACTGGCGTGTGTTTTGCCGAACGGATACTCCGTAATCGTCTGCTGACGCCACAATCCTGCCAGCTGATCATCGTAGTGCCTTTAAGCAACCAATTCGACTGTGAGAACTGCTGATATGCTAAGCTAAGCTACTGCTAAAAATAGGTGATGTATTGCCACACTCATTAATTTAAGCAGTGGCACGTCGTTGTTTTCATGGCCAAACTTTCAATCTATGACCGTATCGTTGACTAAAAGCTGTGGTACGTTTATCTTAATGTATTAACCTGGTTATGAGACACATGACTGCATATTTGCATATTTGTTTTGAACTCATAGGCACATGATGGTTGGCAACTGTATTAAGTTGACATTTGATGGGACCCATATTTGATTGTCATTTATTCAAAATGATTAATTGGTAAACGGATTCATGCTAGTATTAAGTAACTCGTTTTTTGATATTTTTGTGAGCGTTACTTATTGCCCAACCCTGTTGTGGCTGTTTACTAATTTGTGTTATTCTGATCTTGTTTAGGCCAGGTTTTATTGGTTTTGTTTTGGTCAGAAACCTGATCAAGATGGGATGGTGAGCCACCCAACCTCCACTGCAATGTGGTAGGTAGGACTAAACCTTTATGAACATCACTGAATCATACCATCAGGAAAATGACCTTATCAAAGGTCACTGGACTGACATGAACTGAATGAACTAACACCCTTGGTTCTGCTCGTGTTGAATAGTTGTGTTTGGAACTATTTATCTGCTTATTTATGTGTACCTTATGTTTATTTATGTTGATGTCATTGATATGATTGTTACACATCACATAAAACTGCCTGAGCTCAATCTAAGTGGTTGTGGTTCATTCACACCCTAAGGCTCCTTCCCTGAATCATTTTCTTCTGGTGATTAAAGTAATAGCAGCCAGACCTTAGCCCGGGGGTCGGCAATCCGTGGCTCTGGAGCCGCATGCGGCTCTTCCATCCATCTGATGCGGCTCTCTGTGCTTGTAAAATAATTAATGGATATTTAAATAAAATGATTTATATTTTACTGCATTAATTCTACATCTGTATGCCAATTCTAAATGTAAAGATTGCCTGTGTAAACCTGAACAGTTCCAACTCGGTCTTACTGTGAGACCGGGTTGACGCATCACGCTTGTGCGTAATCATATGCGCTTTCTGAGCTGAAGAGAATCTGAGATTCTGGCATTCTCCTCAGACAGGCTCCTGGATGCGTTGCCACATTGGAGACAGGAACAAGCGCTATTCAGCCAAAGTTTCATAATCAGGGAACATTTTCTAAGTGACAAGTCTCGCTTCAGTCGGAGGAATCTTCCTGCATGCTCTGGTTCTGCGACGAACTCCAAGCCCCTCTCCACATCTTCAGCTCGTTGTGCACCGTACGTACGCGCTGACAGCGAGCTGCGCTGAGCAATGTCCAGCTCAGATGTTCAGATGGGAATCTTTTCTTGAGGGATTTAGCTACATCTGAGATGTGCGTAACGAATAAAATGTCCATCTGCATGCGTCGGGGTAATTCTTTCTATTCTTTCTTCACCGTCAAAATAAACGGTCAAATACGAGAACTATCCGGTCAACACAAGCCCTGCCTTTAACTTTTGTTTTCTTGTGAAAATTGTTGCAAAGAGATATAATTTAACTTGATTAACACCAGAGCCAGGCGCACTGCGCCGTTATCTCCGTCACTGTAAATGAGGGAAAAACAAATTGATCGGATCCTTTTCTGACCTTCCCCACCTACAAAGTTTAATTACAACAATCAAACGTGACAGAGCCTGGATTTGTATTCTGAACAGTCTAAACATGTTTTAAAAAGAAACGTATGACAAAAGTGGCACCTGCTCAGTAAAACCACCAACAGTGTGAAAAATATCAAAATATTGTAGGCAGAGATGGGCTACAACTTCTGGATCCACTTTATATAAATCGTTTTATTGATTATTGTCTCATGAAAGATAACTTTGACGTACACGAGCAACCGGTACTGGCCGCTGTCACCTGCTGTGATTGGTTAAAGCAGCTCTCTGCTGTCTGAGGGTAGGCCCCGCCCACAACGCCGTGGCTGCTGTGGCTCCCAGTGTTTTCTTTACTGTGGGAAATGGGTAATAATGGCTCTTTGATGGGAACAGGTTGCCGACCCCTGCCTTAGCCCAAGGAGCGTTATACCATACCATACCATTCCATACCATACCATGCCATACTTTGTAAAGCACTTTTTAAAACTGCTTGGCAAAGTGGGCATTGAGAGACATACAGCAACTGCAGGTCAGACAGGTAACTCAGTGACAAGCCATTCAAAGATTTAAAATCTTTCACCTCTGTCTCCGTGTCTAGTTGGAGTTAAAAGAAACATCCAAAAGCACTAAGAATAAAGTTTTTAGTATCAGACATGACATTAAAGCAGAAGCTTTGATTCTCCAGCTAAGCGTAAATCTGTAAGGCTTGTCACCAACATTCAGACATCAATTATGTTTGCTTCACAGCCAGAGAGGACACAGGAAAAAAATATTAGATAATAAAAGCATGATTGACAGTTTTTAACTCATGTCTTGAAAGAAAATACTTTACCTTGGACAATCGTCTACGGGTAAACTCAAAAAAGTAGAATATCATGCAAATGTTCAGTAATTTCAGTAATTCTACTTAAACTGAAAGACCATCATTAAAACTGAATCTGCTGTCAGTGGTTCCTACAAACTTGGGCCAGAGCTACTCAAAAGGAAGTAAGATCACCAAAATCAACAGAAGAGCTATCAACCCAACAATCATGGTAGTGGGGACAAAATCAGCTGCTTGTAGCTTTGGTCTCATTCTTTTGGGTATAATCCAGAGCTAACAACAGTAACTGAGCATTGCTGCATAGACAGAACAAAAAAATCAAGTGCTTTGCCTTTCAGCTTGATTGCCAATTCACTGACAGACCAAAGACAGTTCTAATTACTGCAGATGAAGCTGAAATCTGTCAACCTTTTCCTCAATGTTTTATACCAATATTGCAAATATGACACCAAGACAATTAAAGTTCTTCACATGAGGTTAAGACAAACTCCCAACCTAAGAGAGTATGCCACCTTCTGGTACCATGGCCTGAGACCGATCATACTGGGCTGCAAATCACCCAGGTGCCACTGAAGGTCATGGCTTCAGATCAGAAGCACTCTCTGCAGTGATGAGACCCTCGTCTCCATGACTACACTTTGAGACCCTTTCATTGAGAACTACAAACACGATCAGAGATGAGTGGAAACCCTGGTGAAGGCCGACCTATACCGTAAACAAGCTGCACTTAGTGCTGAGATTAGGAGTGATTTTGAAACGGCTGCTGTGTGGTTGATCTCTGGCAGAAAAAGACTTGGTCTTATTCGATCCAAATGATAACAGCTACACTAAAGAATACCTCCGCAAGTCCAATCTATCATTGTTGCCAAGCTGTGTATAAATATGAGTCCATTAGAGAGGATATAGAGGCATGAGTCACTCTCTGACTGAACATTATACCAAATAATAATGTCTGTTATTATGGGTCCTTGGCTTTCCTGGTATATTGCACTGTGGAAGCTTTTACTGAAGTATACACAACTAAAGGTCTTTCACCATTCAATTCATGACATTTATAAGATCAAAACCATTTAGGCTACAGGAGATTCAAGCGTTTCTTGTAGTAAAATCTTGTTGCTAAGCAATACAAGCCACAGGGCATCAAAGTCCTACAAACATGTACTTAGAGAATTTACTATAATAAAAAAAATCCATATCCAATGCCTGGACCCTGTGTATTTCAAGCAGAGTGACCCTGTGTGTGGGCGAGTTATTATACAAGACTGCAGCACAGCAGAGTGCTCACCTGTCCTACGTAAACCAGCAGTCTGGCGCTGAGAGGACTCTCATCAGGACTTAACCAGAACTCTGAGTTATCATCAGAGGACACTGAGAACTGGAAGTCACCTGCAGGGAGAGGAACATGATCAAAGCATGTGTTAGTGGAAGAAGATATTTGTGATTTTAGATAAGAATAGAGCAAAAAAGGAAATCAATTCTTCAGAAAATAGGGGAAATAGTCATTGCTTGAAGCAGATGGTGACGCATTTTATAAGTGAAGAGTTATTCAGCGTTTTAAATCGCAGTGCAGTACATGTGTGATGTGATAAACAAGAAATTGAACTTAAGCACAGATTTAAAAGAGTAAAAAACAAGAAGAGCACAGTATTAGACTCATTTGACCTCTTTCTTTGGGCTGTTTGTGTAAAAAGGGTTAGGATAGTGTTGTAGGATAGTGAACAAGGTGGCAATTAGGTTACCAAAACCTAATTTCACGATCTATAGAAAAGTTATTTCACTTTTATGTTTAACATGTTTCATCAATCGCAGACAGTGTGGACAGCATTGAAAACCAACTTTTGTTGCTGGTTAAAGGTGCAATAAGTAAGAATGAAGTAAGAATGGCATCCTGTGGTAATATTTGGTTACTTGAGGCTCACTTTTCTAAGCAAGAAGTGGCTTTCTCACTGCTGTTCCATGACTTTCATGGCTGTTGCCAGTTACGGATCAGCGCCTGGAGATTCTAGATGACAAGCGAAGACGAGTCACACACAGTGAGTTAATATAAATACATTACCATTTCTAGTGCCAACACTCTTGGTTATTTTACTCATTATGGTAATTTGTCCCCGGCATTTCAGGAACTGTGGTTGATTTCCATTTTGCTGTTATAGTTCTGAACGACTCATTAAAGTAGTTATAACGCCATGAATGACTCATTATTCACTTCACACACACATTTCACTGTAATATTGAGTTGTTGGTAATTAAAAAAGTAGATTGAAATAATTTTGAGTTGACTATTTGCTTCAAATTAGCCACGTTCATAGGACACACCATGTCGACAAATCAGCGTAACACTGCCGCCCCGCTGTGTCAAGCTATATCCAAGCCAAGAGGAAGCCTGTGATGGTGCAGAGACCGCCCCCACATCCCCTTTATGCCAGCATCGCATAACCTTTTTGATCACGCCACATTATTGCCCTGGTATGGCTCCCTGGTGCCAGCTCAGCTTTGCGACACATTGCATTGTTTTTTGAAAGAGGATATTCACTGTTAGCATTCTTAGCTCAACATTAGCTTCTAGGCTTCCTCGCCTGATATTAAAATAATACAAAAAGATGCCGTGGCTTCTTAGGAGTACAAGAAATAACTTCTGGGTCGCTCCTGTTCACTGGCTTTACTTCTTTGAACAACTGAAGCTTTTTGCCTGTCGGTGTCAAATTACAAATGCTGGCGCTGCAGTGTTGGCTCAGAGCAGACTCTGCAACCTCACAGAATCAGAAGATAAACAGTAATAATGTACCTCTTGTTGTTTGGAGAAGAGAAAAACTGACAACCCCCCAGCTGGCTGAGACTGAAATCGGTTTCATTGTAACCTTCCTACCAACAAGATTGAGACATTAGACTATTTTATGATTTTTTTTCTTACATATTGCTTCTTACATTTTCAGAATATGTATAATACAAATCTGTTAGGTAGCATTTCATATGTACTCATCATGTCTAGCAGGATGATGAAGGTGAAGGGCACTTGTTAGAGCTCACCCTGAGCCACTGAGGAACGACTGACCTTTACGCCATCAGCACAAAGGAGCCATGCCACTATAGTGAAAGCTGTTTGAGAGTCTGGAATGAATGGTAATCTAATTAATAGCTTCAATTCTCCATTTTGGGTAAGGGCACTTGGATATTAAGGCTTTTTGATTAGTTCCCATAGCAACCGAGATTCAGGGTAGGACTGTGAGGGGACGGCAGCAAGATTTAGCTGTGAGATTCTGGGATGAGTCTCGGGAAAAATGTGAATATTCACTACATCACTGTCTCCAAGGGACTTGGATTAGAGAGGCTGTGGAAAGTGCCTATTCCGTTAAAAGACACATGCTCCATGGCTCTTAATTTCAAATTAGAGACTGGGTAATACATTAAAGCACTTACCATCTCTGTAAGGGTGAAGGAAACCAAATATTCTCAGACCATAGTTCTTCCACTTTGGAGCCACTGCAAGCTTCTTCAGTGTTGTTCTTGTCTACAAAAAAATTTAAAACACATCATACATATCTAAATGTGCAAATCATGCACCATTCTGACTACCGAAACTCCAAAACTAAACGTAAATTGTCTCCTAATGAAAACATTCCTCATGCTTCACAATAAAGGATGCAACTTTTGCATCTGCTGGTAATTCAAATCCTCTGAAGGGAAATTAAGCACTCACATGAGGATAGAGTGGGAAGTGCAGGTTCTTCCTGAGTTGGGCTACAGAGGAGCCACACCAGTCCTCAAACACATGAAGGTTGACCTGGCCCTTATACTGCCAACACACACAGAGGACACACATTAGAGCAAACAGTCTCAGAAACATGTTTTCTAAGAAACAGAAAACAACCAAAGGGTAATCTACAGCTGCCAAAAGTGAAGCCAACATGGAAGTGACAAAAATTGCAGTTTCCCCCTCATCCACTAGGGGCTGGCACCAGACGTGAGCAAGTTCCCAATGACTCCCAACTTCACAGCAGAAATTAGCAAGTTAACAGCAACAACAGGCTGCCAACTTTTGAACATTTCAAAGAGTGAGACACGATCACGGGGGTTGGGAGCGGACAATGGGCCGACCGTTTAGAGAGGCGGGGGGGGGGGGGGGGTTAATTAATATTGACTTTATTTATTTTTTACTACTCTGTACGGAAGAGGATTAGAGCCACTGACAAGGAAAGAAAAAAGAAAGGAAAGAGAATTCTTACTTTTTTCTCAGAATTCTGACTTAACCTTGAGATTCTGACAGGGAATTCTGGGAAAAAAGTCAGAATTTGCTTTCTTTTCTTCCTTTTTTTCTTTTCAGTGGCCCTAATCATCTTCCGTACCTCTGACTTTACAGAGGGAACTGACCTTTGTTGAATACAAATTTTCTTTTTGAGAAGAAAATTTTACATTCAACTCTCCTGAACTTCTTCACACTATCATGTCTGTCTGTCTGTCTGTCTGTCTGTCTGTCTGTCTGTCTGTCTGTCTGTCTGCAGTAAAGAGTTACAGGAACTTTTACTTATAATGAATGTAAATGTTTAAAACTCCATCTAGGGGTGGGCAATATCATGTCGTTCATAATATTACCAGTTATTATTTCCTGCCAAGAAAAATAATCTATCATGCTAAGCTAACTTCAATGATGTAGTTGCATCCACTAAACAGAGGATTATGTTCATGTGTTCATCAGCATGAAGTTATTGAAGTTATCAAAGCAAACATGGCTGGAATCAGTTTTATTGTAATCGGTGTCTCTAAGTGTGTGTGCTGCTGTAATGAGTGGATGTCCCCAATGTGGGACTAATAAAATGTACTCTATTCTATTCTATTAATTCATATCAGCCAGTAGGAAAAAACTTTGAGGAATTTTGGCTTTCCCAGGCTTCCGTACTGGTAACTTGGTTATGGAGGAGGGGTTCGTCTCACAAACAGGAAAAACACACTGGTGAAGCGGTGAATTAAAACATTAGGATTCCTGTTTTAATTCACCGTGTCACCAACTAATGTAGGAGAGGGAAAACATGTGAGTGAGTCACTAGCTTGCTGTGAGCGAGAGCAGCGATCTGTGGCTGATGAGTGAAAACAAAAGAAAAACATTCGGGACTGAAGCTCCGTCAACACTGGCTAGCAACACGGCTGCATTTCTAAATATAGCGTGTCGTTATGGCGGCACCCTGGAAGAACCGGGCATGCCCGTCCCATCAACAGCAGGTGGAGCTCACCGCGCCGCCCATCTCACAACCAGAGCGGAGAAAAGCACATCGGCTTGGATTATACAGATGGGATTATGTGTGAAATAACACCAGTTAAATTATTACTTACGTGTTGTGTGTTGTTGAGTAGCTAATGCCATCTTATATATCATTTCATAAACCCTACACACTGTGCGTGATGAGCGTTTGGGGAGTGCAGGCACTGGCTTAGCGTGAGATATTGGGAGTTGTCGCGTGTGAAGAGGGTCAAATGTGTGTGTCTCATAGCCTGGCAAGCCAGACTATATATGTCAAACTTTGCAAAGCAAGAATTTGGTCTAGTTCACAAGGCTATGTGTCTCACGCTCAGTGCGTGAGAGTTGGCAGCAACTCTGAGAAGGTTGTAACTCATCCATTTAGATCTGAACAAAACTTTAAATTATGATTAACTAGGGGCGTGTACTTTTGATTGACATGTAGCAAATGAGCTATCAGTGCTAGCGCTAGCAACTTGCCTTCAGCTTGCACCGGGGAAGGCCTCAGCCCGGTCCTAACATTTAAAGAGTTTCAGCCTAGAAAACAGAGGCATCCGCCAACCTTCTTTAGCGTCAGCTAGCTCGTAGCTGCATCGTCTCAGAGTTTGTAGGGTGTCAAACATCTGCTCACAGCCCCACTCAGCCTCATTTTTGTGTTTTTCAGGAGAGATAGTGGTGGTGGGATCTGCCTACTGGGTTTCAATTCAGCTCTTCGGAAACCTATGGATGATGATACGGTAGGGCTGCTCAGTTTATCGAATTTTAATCCCAATTACGATCTGAGTTTTAAACGATTATAAAAACAAAACAAACCGATTATTTGCTCCTCCCACTTTCGCTGCCCTGAGTTGCAAATGAAGCGCTCCTCCCACAGTGTTGCCAACTTAGCGACTTTGACACTATTTCTAGCAGCTTTTCAGACCCCCTTCTTGACTTTTTAAATCTTAAAAGTACCTGGCGAACATCTCAGAAACATCTCTGGTAACCCTTATCTACTTTCTGGATAACTGTCGTTGAAACTTCCTGCAGGTTAGCTAAACACTCCGCCTGCGCTCCCAACCGTTCTTCAGGACATTAGGAAAGGGAATGATGTAGTGATGTGTCGGTCGCTACAGAAACGGCTCTCAGAGCCGGCTTCCTGTTGGATTAACCAGAGTGAGTGACGCACACACCGCACCTGCGGGCTCCTGAGCCGATAAACAGCTAAATGTGCGCGTGCGGCGCACTAAACACACGTGCAGCTTGCCCCTGATTGCTGTGAGACCGGGTTAGGGGGTGGGGGGTTCAGCTGTGGTTGGGACAATTATTACATTAACTGATGGGACTTGTAAATAAATAGTTTATAAATAAGGTAGAAATAGATAGAAGTAAGTTCCTCATGCTGATAAATAATAACTAATCCCTCTGAGGACACGGTGCTAGTGCACTCTCCTACAGCACCTTGACACGACTAAATACATATTATGCAAAATTTTGTGAACATCAATTTATTTGCATTTATTTGTTATAAATGCCACTGTATAATTCTTGCTGTCAGTATTTGCAAGATATTGGTATTTATTACTTACATGAGTTAAACCAAGGTCTACAGCCCTTGGGTCATAGACTATGAGCTGTAGGTATATTGGTCTTTTTATACTGGGAATCAGGTGTTCTTTTAGTGATCATCTTGTTTCTTATTTATTTTTGTCCTGATTGTGCCCCGAGCAATTTTATGACAGAATAAAAACAAATAAAATCAACATTATTTGAAAAATCGGCCTAAATAATCGAGTTCTCAATTTCAGTCACAATAAAAGTGATTATTATTTTTGCCACAATCGAGCAGCCCTACGATACGGTGTGTTTTGCCATAACACTTAAACTACAGGAGCTACATTAATGCATGAGCGAGTTCAGTTTCTCCTTTTGTGCAAGAGAGTTTCCAATTTCCAATGAGAAAAGGTTGTGAAAATGTGTCATGAAGTTTCAAATGTTGTCACCATTTCAAATAATAAAAGAAGGTGAGAGAGGGAGACTGTTTGGAGCAGTTTGTTAGAGCCCATCCTCTGTGCATAGCCTGACATTTGTCTGAATTACACAGGGAAATCACAGGACATGGGAAGGACAGATGGTGAAATTATTCTGCTGTGGGGTGCAGATTCCTCTAGTGCACATGTGCACAAACACAGGTCAGATTGTGTGAGAAGAGGAGACTCTGTCATGTAAACAAACTTGAAATGTCATGTAGCAATGTAAAAATAAAGTTAAAGAGCACGATTGTTCACACCATTACACCTTCAGTTGTGTTTATTTTCATTTTAACACAAAGCTTAACCTCCCTGTTGCTTCATGCAAAATCTTGGGAGGCAAAATAAAGTTATTGTAGCTTTTCATAGCAGATGATGAACAAACAGAGACAGCACACTTCTGCACAATGTCCACACATATGGCATCCTTTAATGCATGACAACAAACTCAGCAGGCTGCCACTGTAATGCTACCACGGGCATTGAAAACATCATACAGAGCCTGAACAGAGCTGGCTCTCTCTGAAATGACAGCAGACAAACACAGCGGTTCTAAGCAAATGCTGGCTTCACCACTTTGGCCCTGTTTCAGCTGCAGGAAGTAGCTTTCTGCGTGCTGTGTAGCTGCTAGCTGTGGAGTCAACAAGTGTGAGCTGTCAGATTAATCAGCCAGGGGACTGAGAGCGACCTCCTGACACGGGTTAAAAGAAAAGAAAAGAAACATGGATTTAAATTCTACTGTCATTCCATTAGAGCAAATAAATGAGTGAGGAGGTATCTCAAGGCAAACACTGTTCTGCCTGCCACGCTGCATCCGTCTCTACGCTTTAAGAAAATAAGATGTTGATAGAGGATTTGGTGTTCCTTTAAGGGTCACAAAGACATTCTAACTGAAGGCATATTTCTCTCAAACAAGTTCCCTGCACACTGGCAGGAGAAGAGCAATTACGACACATGAATGAGGGATGAACACGAGATACTTTTATTTTGAAAACATATCAGGATCTTTCTTTTTTGTTGTTGTTGTTGTTGTTGTTATTTTAAAGGTGTGGTTCCCTGAAAAAAAATTTTTTTAATGACTAATTCTGTTAATGATCGGTCACTCTGAGTTTTTCATGCAGGCTGAAGATGAAAATGTCTCCTACACCTACCAGATGCAAGTCATTTCAAGTCGCAAGTCATTGGCTTTCAAGTCCAAGTCAAGACGTAAGTTTATAGATTTGATCGAGTCAAATCAGAAGTCATTGAAATAATGACTCGAGTCTGACCTGAGTCCAAGTCATGTGACTTGAGTCCACACCTCTGATCTGTGGGCCCACCATGTCAAAAGCCAACAAATAAAACACCCAACCAACCAACCAACCAACCGACCATTTAACAAACAAACAAACAAAACAACCAACCAGCAGATAAACCAGGGACCTAACCAAATAAACCAACAAACCAACCAACCAACCAACAGACTATTTAACAAACAAACAAACAAACAAACAAACAAAACAATCAACCAGCAGATAAACCAGGGACCTAACCAAATAAACCAACCAACCAACA